GAGGATTCGGTACGCGTACATCGGAGTCTATTATATTAATACTATTCTTATCGTTATCCGTCATGTCAAATATATATATTAAAAATTAATATGAAAATATATGACAGACGTGGATAGATAAAACAATAGACTCACCGAATTGCCTTCTTTGAAAGATTTGACCGAGGTTGAGGCGTGTTCCAATATTTGGATCACCAAATGTAGCGTGGTGTCGAGTTGAGCTTGACTAAGAACACCGCTACCAGACTACTTGCCAATAGACCAATAAAATTCCGATAGGCCAAAATATCAGAAGGCAGATGATTGTAGTAGTCGTATATATTTGTTGGCGATCTCGTGGTATCGAAAGAATACCGAGATCGTGCCAAAGGAGTACAAGCGTGGTTACTGAGCGTAACCGGATTCGTACAAGTTCGAAGTCAACCGGAGAGTAAGTATAATGGCTGTCATTAGCACAGTTAAACAAACGAGCACAGTAAAACAGTCACTGGTACAATTGGTTATAATAATAATTGTTTTCATCGATCCAATCGCTTTCTGTTGACAAAAGTAGGTCACTACAAAAGTATGAAAAGCCGAAGAGGAATACGCTGAACCGAACTGTGCACTGTAAGCCAACTTGAACAGGTCAGTATCTCAGTTATCATAGTTAGTCTCCAGTCTAAGGGGCCTGTTTAATAGGATTGATTGTATTTTCACAAACGATGTTATTGATGACCAAGTGGGTTTATTGAAGAAAACATTGATGGAGAATGGTTACCCTTTAAAATTCATAAGTCGATGAGTGGGTCACAGTAAGTGAAACCTACTTCACTTCTGGCACAGAAATGCCTGTCTACATCACCCTACAGTTCATATGTGAGTCAAATAACCTTGTGCTGAAAGAAAAGCTCAAATCAGTCATTAGTCAAATGTACTATGCAGCAAGGATCATTATTATGGCAAAACAAGGTTTATGCTCCACCGAAAACCTAAACGTCATGTAAACGATCACGCCATATCCCACTGTGTTTACCAATTTACATGTGTGTGTAGCCACACATACATTGAGAGGAGTAGTTGTGATTTGCAATTTAGAGTTTCTGAATATGTACCTAAGTGGTTACAAGTACAAACAAAATCAAATGATGCAATAAGGGTAGATGATAAATGTTCATCGTCGTCTATCACCAAACACGGTTAAAACAGGTCATAAGGTTGATCTTAACCCGACTTTTGTGATGTTTTACGAAGTGTTCAAAGGTGTATACTAAGGCTTATTGGGGCCTTGGCCACAAAAACTCAAGCCCCTTTATGTGTTCAAATCTGTTTTCACTCTAAGACTATCCTGGTAATATTATTTTATTATCCAGTATAGAAAGTTTCACATTAATCTCTTGATTGTTACCTCCTACCCACCATTTGTCCGGCTAACCTTTTCTGTTTTCACATATAATTGTTTTTAACAAGTGTATAATCATATTGTTCGAAGTGTATTGTGTTTATTTTCCACATAGTTCTGATAATCTTTGTCTTATTTCTCGCAGCATCCCAACCTATCATTATGGTGTTTTTTCGCTATTCACTCGTCTTTTTAACATTAACAAATGCCGAACCCCATATCTTATATTACAAATCCTGGTTTGCGTGTTATATTTCGTTTTGGTATAGTCGTATAACAAATAATAATCTGAAAATATTTTTCAAAAGTGATAGGCATGCGATGACAAACACAATATCTTGTAATGGTTGTCTAGTTGCCACTCATATAAATCCCTAATTAAACAAAATTATCTGCTATACCAACATGACTTGACTACAATCATCGCCTCAAACATTGGATATCACTGGCCTGCAGCTAGTATTGTGAAACGTCTTGACTGGTTGCTTGTCGCAATAGATGATTCGAACGACGAGCTGAAACATGATCCAATGAGCGTCACTGGCCAAGCAAATTCATCTAGATGTGTAAAGAAACACATGACATTATTCCTTGACCTATTTTCGGTCGCTCCAGAATCTTGTAGAACACCAACTCGCTAAAAAGGCGCTAACCAGAAAAAATTATTCTAACCATTTAAACTCTGTCCTGGGAGTCAGAAGGTCTTCATTTAGAAGAGTTATGACGCCTCATGGTGAATGCCGCGTTCCTTTGGAAGTCACGAGGCCGACGCCCCTTCTGACAACCAGAGCAACCATTTATTTAGGTACATGTAATGCTCGTACAATGTGGGAGACTGGGAGAGTCTTCCAAATTGCTGCAGAAATGAGGAGATACAATTTAGAGGTGCTTGGGATCAGTGAAACACATTGGATGCAAGTTGGACAACAACGACTAGCTTCAGGGGAGCTTCTGTTATACTCCGGACATGAACAAGAAAATTCCCCCCACACACGAGGAATTGCCTTGATGCTGTCCAAACAAGCACAAAATGCACCTATAGGATGGGAATCTCATGGACCAAGAATCATCAAAGCCTCCTTCAAAACAGAGAAAGAGGGCATTACAACGAACGCCATCCAATGCTATGCGCCTACCGACGACTAGAATGAATACGCTAAAGATCAATTCTACGATAGGCTACAGTCAATCGTCGAGAAGTGCCCAACAAAGGACTTAACCATTGTGATGGGAGACCTAAGTGCCAAGGTGGGAATGGACAACACCGGATATGAAGACATCATGGGACGACATGGACTGGGACAAAAAAGCGAAAGTGATGAAAGATTTGCAAACCTATGTGCCTTCAATAAACTGATTATAGGCGGCACTATATTCCCACATGAACGCATACACAAAATCACATGGACTTCACCTGATCATACCGCTCAAAACCAAATCGACCATATCTGCATCAACAAAAGGTTCAGGAAGACGATGGAGGACGTGAGAACCAAGAGAGGAGCCGATATAGCATCACATCATCACTTGCTGGTAGCCAAGATGAAATTCAAACTCAAGGTGCACTGGATAACGGGGTGGACAACATCACAAAAGTTTAATACAGCTCTTCTTCGGGATACTGACGAATTCAACGAATTCAAGATAGCCCTCAGCAATAAGTTCAAGACCTTTCATGATCTACTCAATGGAGAAGGAACTATCATGGAGAAAAACTGGAAGGTGATCAAAGGGGAAGTCACTTCAGCATGTCATGAAGTTCTGGGCCAAAAGAAGCACCATCACAAGGATTGGATCACGGTTAATACGTTGGGTAAGATTCAAGAAAGGAGGAACGAGAAGGCAGAAATCAATACCAGCCTAACAACAGTGGAGAAATCCAATGCACAAGCTGATTACACAGAAGTAAACAAGCAGGTGAAGCGAAGCATCAGAACTGACAAACGTAAATATGTGGAAGATTTAGCAATGACGGCGGAAAAGGCTGCAAGAGAAGGAAACATGAGACAGTTGTATGATACAACAAAGAAATGAGCTAGAAATTATCGTATTTAATAGGTTATCAATATATCGAGGACCGATTGATGTAGGCTAGTTAGCGATTGCAGTGGATGTTGAGCACGGCGTTCCCATTTGTGATCTGGTGCGGATGCACGACCGAGCGCCTTCAACTAGATGAGTCCATTAAAACTAATATGGTCAGCATCCAATGCCGAAAACGTACAGAGCTATTGATTTTGGAGATTTATTAACCGCCACAGATCACCTCCCCCTAGTGCGGTAGTGATGATCCTAAGATGTGGCCAGCCAGAAGTTTGAATCCAACGAGTTTGTCGCCGGTAAACACGTTTATGATAGCTTGCTTCGTTTAGCAGCGTTTGGTCGTCTTTCCTTACTATAAGGGACCATGTAAAAGTACGATGAAAATTTCGGTTTATTGTAAACTTCACCGTTCTTTTTTCGCATTTTTCCAGCCGTCCTGTAAAAGAAAAAACGATGCGTAAGTGCATGTCGAAATACCCGCGCGTAAAGACATAAAGTGAAAGAAAAAAGGAAAGTAAATTCATACACATGCGATAGCGCAAAAGCGGTTTTTAAAGAATACTTTGATAAAAAAGCTAAATATACACACATCAGCAAAAAAATTGTTTGGGGACAAATATATGAGTATAAGCATATTAAATTTTTTATTACATGTGATACAAGGGAAAATCGAGATGAAGCAATCTGTTAACTGGTGTCTTACGTGCAACAATCGTTCACATGTTCTGGAAATCTTACTCTTCTTCCAGAACGCGTTGTTTTAAGTCTATTTTCAGATACTGAAGAAGTACCTACGTGCGCGCCGGCTGTCGGGTGAGATATTATAAGTGTAGGAGCCATGTCGTCTAAGATAACATGTAAGTGTATGGCATAATTCCGCAATGTCATTTTGGGTCGTTTGAGGTTCTTCTTTGACTGAAAACATCTTGAAATTAGAAGATTTCTGGTCTGGTCAACGGCAGAACTTTCCACTTAATCTTCGACAGTTCTATTCTATTCCACTTAGGGCATGTAAACGTAGCGTTTCCTCCATCACTCTAAAATGATAAGGACACTGAAACGCACCCAATGGCGAGCCACGAAATCAATTCACGAACTCAAATTCAAGCCTTACGAAGCGCGCCTTGAGTCACTGAACCTTTACTTATTAGAATATAGGCGTTTTGGAGGTAATTTTCTCATGACTTACAACAACCTAAACACTCCTTGACACTACTCATGCACCTACTTAAACTCAGTGCCAACGCAAACCTTAGAAGTAACATCCAAAAACAATACAGCAAAACGGATTGTAGACACACCTACTTCTCAAGAGTAGTCAAATACTGAAATTCGCTGCAGGCTCAGTTAATATAAAAGGCTTCCCAGTAGTCCTTTAAGAGAAAACCTGACATATTCTTAAAGACAGCATCTCACTATAATTTAATAATACTTTTTCTCTACCATTGTTAAATATATATAGCTTCTCACTCCGAGACATTGGCGATCTACTGCTACTAGGTACGGAAGCCCGTTAAGCTAAAGCTTTTCCTATTCCATCCAGAAGCATTTGAAACCATTTTAAGCTATTGTACATGACAAATATTCCCGTCATTATGAAAATGTACGTTTCTTTTAAGTTTGTTGGTTCTGAGAAGTTATCAGCATTTTAAAGGCTTTCATAGAATGGCCAATCCTGATATTTGTCCAGGAAAACGTTTTAAAATTAATTGAATAACTACCCAAGACATGTCAAGCCGCAAAAACGTATTTAAATATGTAAGCGGACCCCATTGTTTTCTTAGGGCTAACTTCAGGTAATAGTAAAGCCCTAATGTTTTTACAGAATGTCGAACCAAAGTGTTTTACCTGAAAGTATGTTTCAATGTTTACTTGTAGACGAAATTTTTAATATCGACCCGAGCTCCCAATTTTGGGGAAAATTTTACCTATTTTGGGGAAATGGCACAAAACCTCCAAAAATTTCCCCAGACCTTGGTAAATTCCCAAAATTTCCCCTGACCTTGAGGATGTTCCCCAAAATTTCCCCAAAGCTCCCCGAAATTTATACTTAAAAGTTACCGCACCCCACATTCCTTGGATTATACCAAGGGAGCCGAGAAACTCCCCACCATGGTTCAATAGGGAGGTCCGCATCCTTCTCCGTAAGAGAAGAAAAATGTGGGATAGATTCAGGTTGATGGGGACTGATGAGACAAAATCTCAGTACCGAAAAGCTAGGAATACCTGTGCCTCGACCCTCCGTAAGTCTAGAAAGCTGTACGAAAAAAAAATTGTTAAGGAATCCATAGAATGTCCTAATCGCCTGTATTCCTATATAAACCAAAGGACAAAAAGAAGAGAAATTATTCCTGCACTATGGGGAGACAGTACTGCCGCATCAGTAGTGGAAGATGACTTTGGTAAGGCTGAAGTGTTCTCAAACTACTTCAGCAATGTATATACCATAGAAGTACCCTTCCCGTCAGCGCATACAAACCCCCCCACACATACACTGGATAGCGTGACCATAAATGAACTCGATGTCTTTGATCTGCTAAATAAGCTTGACATAGGTAAATCCATGGGGCCCGATGAATTGCATCCTAGGCTACTAAAGGAATTATCTAACTTCGTTGCGAACCCTTTAAGTATATGCTTTAAGCTATCCGTAACGCAGGGTCGTTTACCAAAAGACTGGAAGAACGCCATAGTAAGTCCTGTCTTCAAAACAGGTACGAAACATAAACCTGAGAATTACCGACCCGTTAGCCTAACTAGTGTGGTTGTTAAAATCTTAGAAAAGATTATTCGAAAAGAGCTGTTTAAATACCTCGATGTAAACCGAATCCTCTCGGAGAAACAGCACGGTTTCAGAATAGGTTATTCTTGTCTCACTAAGTTATTAGTCACTCGAGAAATCTGGTGCGCTTTTAGGGACCAAAAGTTACCTGTAGACGTAGCTTACACCGATTTTAGCAAAGCTTTTGACAAGGTTCCGCACAACCGGCTGTTATATAAGCTAAAAAATGCCGGAATTGGAGGCAATCTATTGACGTGGATAGAAGACTTCCTTGTTCGGCGCCAACAAAGAGTACGGGTAAACTCAAAATTATCTAGCTGGGAAACTGTGCTTAGTGGAGTGCCCCAGGGTACAGTTTTGGGGCCAGTGCTATTCCTCTTGTATGTAAATGACCTTCCCCGCTTACTATCATCATCGGTCTTGCTATATGCTGACGATGTCAAGATATGGAGAACGATACGATGTAAGGGTGATAGCTTAGAACTACAAAATGACCTGAAGAAATTATCCGAATGGTCTCATACATGGCAGCTGCCGATAAATACTTCCAAGTGTGTTGTGATGCATATCGGTCATCAAGGTTCAGATACATACACGATGAATAACACTGAGCTACCTGTTGTCCAGACACATAATGACTTAGGAGTCATCGTTAGCCAAGATCTGAAGACTACTGCACACTGCCGTGCAACAGCCGCCAAAGCTTTCAGAACTTTATGGTCAATACATAGGGCTTTTACTCATGTCGACGCTAAAATATTTTTGACTTTGTATACAGTGTTCGTACGTCCCAAACTTGAGTACTGCATACAAGCGGCTAGCCCCTGCTTAAAAAAAGACAGTTAGCTTTTGAAAAAGGTCCAGAGAACAGCAAGTAAGCTGATTCCCGTAATAGCGAAGCTTCGTATGATGCTCGACTGGCCAAGCTAAACCTATTCCCTTTGTCATATCGTAGAACTAAAGGCGACTTGATTACAGTTTCCAAATTGCTTAGTGATAAATTTGCACCTGATATGCCCTCGTTTTTCCTGTCTTCCAAAACAGAGAATTTACGAGGACACTCCAAAAAAGTTCACAAGCCCAGAACAAATTACTTGTCAGCTGATTATCGACTTTCCCACCGAATCATCAACGAGTGGAATTCATTACCTCAACACGTGGTTGAAGCTCCATCCGTAGATTCTTTCAAAAGAAAGTTGGATCAACTGAGAGAACACGATTGCCAGGACTAACACAGGCCATCAAGCCTCCTGTCCTTTCCAAACTGAAAAATTGGGAGCTTGGGGATGGCAGTTATAACTGCCATATATATACAAAAAATATGCGACAAAGTCCCTACAAAAATTATTTAGACTGCTGCTCTGTCTAAAATATGCTTTAATTGATAGTTTGATGTATGAGATAACCCATTAAACAGTAAAGCAATTTATCTTTACTAATAGTCCTCACATAACTGCATTCAAAATATCTATTTTGGGGGGAATTTGGGAAAATTAAAGTGCAGAAAATCATTCTCACCAATCTTAATAGAAAACTTGCGCTTAAAATGTTCTTTTTGTAAAAAGGCTTACCGAAATTCCTCTTAAAACCAATTTTCCTCAGAAGTATACTCTTTCCTTAAGATTCAACTAAGCAATCTAATTTTCCCTTCGGAAGTTCACGTGTTTCCAAAATACACTATATCCACGTATGTTGTTTGTGTTGCAGTCAGTACAAACCATAAGATCAACGGAACCGTATGTTTACCGATTTGTAGACTACAATAGATTTATTAGTCATATGCAGGAAAATTACTATATGGAGTAATAGCTTGTCACAATATCACCACAAAAGTTTTGTGATCTGTGTTTTATAAAAATGTTTTGACCCTTTGAAGTTAACTTCCGAAGTAATTTGTTATGTGTGCAACTCATCTGAAATTCTGTGGAAACTTTGTATTTAGTGAAAAACGAGATTCAAATACTTTTAGGATTTAATATAAATCCTGTTATGGTTCACAACGTTTAGCGTAAAGAATCTACAGCTTAGAGCACATTGTTATTGAATTAACCATTTATGAAGCTTTTGACTCCTCTGTTTTTCTCTTTAAAGCCTATACAAAAAAAGTTGGATACTGATACACTGTAGTTAAGCAAGCAGTATGGCGTTATCTTGAAGAAGCTTAAACCCCTGCTCCATTGGTTGGAAGCATCACACTTTCATGTTATTTATCATAATTAATTGTGCATAAAGTATGTTTTATGTGTGCTACTTTGTTTAATCACCAATGAATTTAAGTCATTTGCCTTGTCAAGTCAAATTCTAGGTAGAGTAAATTAGTTTAGAGAGTGTATATAAATACTTATCCTTTGTTTTAAGAATCTCTGAATTAATGTATAATTTTAATAATCTTACAGACCCTGTGTATTCTAACGTACTAATCCCTGTCAACGCAATAGCATAACACAAGTAAAGTGAAAAAGTGGTTATCTTGTTAAATCTTCATGTATTTTAAAAGTTCTCGTCTCAAAATCCACACTCTTAAGTGGTACAATATCGTATCATATACTGGATACTTGTCATCAAATGGATGCGTTAAAGATCACCGCTGTAGTTGTTAAACAATTTAATTAGACTATCCTCAAACTTGTTAAATCCAGTACCAATTTGTTTAGCCTCCCTCCTATCAAATTTCCTCAACCGATATTAGTCTTCAATTAATGTCAACCATCCTCAAACCAACAGGACCTCTACAAATCATGTGGTTGAATTTATGTAGTCCTGTTTACTCGTATACCTAAGCGTAGCAAATTCGTTTGACGTATACACCTTCGTTTTGTATTTGTTTTTATTTGACTTTTAGCAACGTGCTTACTACCACAATTATTTGTTAAAAATAGAAAATAAACGTCTTTACTGAACTTGTGAATTTTTGTTTAGCATGTCTTTAGCTAGAAAGTGGTGGGATAAAAATGAATCAACTACGAAAAGGTATTCATCTGCCGATATACAGCCTATTGGTGAATATTTACAGGAGAAATTTTCTCATGGAGTCGACTATAATAGTATGTTTAGGAATTGGCATAAAAGTTAAAATATTTGCTTTTATCATCACTATCATTTTTTCTACATTTTTAATAGACACTTCACTGGTTGTACATCCGACTGACTAAAGAACTAAATTATATGATTCGAAATCTCGCTATGAATATATTTATATTCAAGTTTGTAAAGATTCGTTATTTATGGATAACTTATCCATATCTAGAGCTCTTTATCAGTGACTTCGAACTCTAAATATTAGATGTAGTTCATCAGACCTCAAATTTATTAGATATATTTACTTTTGTTGGGGCCTGCTACACAATGTATAGGCCACCGACCAGGGTTCTCCAAACAACTCTGTGCTGGGATCCTTTCTAGTTGTTGCCGATTGGTGCCCATAGTCTTAATGTCTGCCTTTGATTCTTGGCGTTATGTGCTCTTTAGTCTTCCTCTTTTCCTTTTGTTAAGTTAGATCTTACCTTGAGATGTAATTCTACATGGCTTCCACAAACCATGTCTTACCTGCATTTAGCTTCTTTTCCTACTTTCTTCCTCAACTGGTAACTGGTTTGTTCTGTTTCATATTAGGCTATTGTCGATAGTGTGCGGTTAGTGGGTCCGGAGTATCCTTCGTAGACAGATATTTACAATACCTGCACTGCTTTGGTGATCATTTCAATTCTCCAAGTTTCAGCTCCATACAATAAAACTTAAACACGTGTTGAAAATCCTTTGGTCGTAGGTAACAATTCTTTTGAGTTTCAGATATCCTTCAATTGTAGGAATGTTGTCCTTGCTTTGTCGATTCGTACCTTCACACCTTCATCAGATCCTCCTTGTTTACCAATAAAAATCTGCAGGTATATGGAGACTCCCACCTGTTCTCGAGATTCCCCATCAAGTGTAATGTAGTTGGTGCTCACTGTTTTGTACTTCAACATCCCACTTTTTCCCTTGTGAATGTTAAGGTCTATTTTTGAGGAGTCCTCCGCCATATTGGCTGTATTTATTTGCATTTGTTGTTGTGTATGGGATAGAAGGGCTAAGTCATCTTCAAAGTCCGAAGCATCCGTATGTGTTCAAAGTTTCCACTATGTTATGTGGTTTTTCTGAAACAGAGGCCTTCGTAATCTAGTTAGCAGTTAAAAGGAGGAGAAAAGGTAATAGTTAGTAGCCCTGTTCAACACCAGTATCTGTGAGCTTCCTCCATGCACAACTTTGCAATGCAGTCCATCGTAGAAGTTCTGTATGATAGCGACGATTTTTTCAGGTATAGAGGTGTACCTCTTTCCAACCTTCTGGTACTTGTTCTTCTTCCAGAATCTTTCTAAAGAGAATTTGGAATATATTTTCAGTTACCTCAACAATGATTGAGATCATGAGTCGATCAATGTTAGACCACCACTGAAAACCTGGAAGCATTGTCCAACCTGAGTTCAAAATTTAGCTTCTCTACCAGGATGTTCAGTTCTTTTTCTGAATATTTCCATAGGATGAACTGCATCCTCGCGTTAAACTAGTTTTTATTATCTTCGCTGCTATCGCTGATAAGTGCTTAGTACTGGATAACATTCGTTAGTCTTCTCTACTTTACGTCAGATTACTAGAAAATTCAACGTCAGCACACTTAATGGGTTGTTATTTTCCCAGAATAATGCATAGAACGTTTTGCTTTGGATTCATCCCAATAGGGAAACGAGTGACTTCTTGTCAGGGTGAGTTGTTGGCGCTAATTGACAAACGGGTAGTAACCAATGACACATCTTATAGTTTTTAGTACTGATTCAGGTGAAATAAGAAAATAATCAAGTAAAACTATTTATATATGCATACATATAAACGGGATGCTCCTATGAAAACTAACAACAATAGTTCACTCTTTGCTACCGTGTGGCTGCAAACATCACTCATGAAAGTAAAATACACACATAGGCTACAAACATTTTATCAAAGGTATTAGTCGCACATATTAAAACCACAAAGTGAACAATTGTGTGGTTATGAACAGAATACTAAATAAAAATGTTAAATTCATTAATAAGGCTATAAACCTTTGTCAACCTAGTTGGTTAAGACATAGTTTATGCATTCCACCTACTACTCTGATATATAATGTTAGTCAACATAATAGTAGATTGGAAGGCTACGAGCAGACAAGGTAAGGTATGTGACGAGTCTGCAAAATTATTTGGTTGTCGTTCTGAGCCGTGTCGGAAGAGCCTAACTGCTTACTCGGGGACGACCGCACAATATTTGCCATCGATGGCGTGAAGTTGGTCATAGTGGTGCAGTACCATATGCTTCCTTGAATTGTACTTTTGTCCAGTTTTTGACTTATTTCAATATTATCTAAATCCTTTAGAAAAGTCGATGCATACACCCATATATATGAATCTAGTAATTAAGAAATTTAAACTACTTATATTTTTAGTGAAGATTGTTATACGCGGTGATCGTAATGTTGGAAAATCAGCTTTACTTTCGCGTTTGAAGGGTGAACGATTTAAAGAAGAATACATCCCATCCTATGAGATTCAAGTAACTTTATGTTTGCTTATTTGTTAAAATTCTAATAGTTATATCTTACTATTTAGAAAAGTAGGTGAAATATTATTGTAAAACATCCTTAGGTATTGCAATGAGAAGACGAATATTATCAAAACTATGTGTTATATTAGCACAATACATTTCGAACAATCTGACCACACATATACTTGTTAGGAACATTTATGTACGAAAAAGTAAAAGGTCAACTAGACATAGTATATATACTGGAAATTTTTCACGCACGGTTCACTTACGTAAGTACGAATGTATTTCTGCACACATATATATTTGTTCCTCCTCCACGACGACTGGAAAGTATGAAAAGCCGAAGAGGAATACGCTGAACCGAACTGTGCACTGTAAGCCAACTTGAACAGGTCAGTATCTCAGTTATCATAGTTAGTCTCCAGTCTAAGGGGCCTGTTTAATAGGATTGATTGTATTTTCACAAACGATGTTATTGATGACCAAGTGGGTTTATTGAAGAAAACATTGATGGAGAATGGTTACCCTTTAAAATTCATAAGTCGATGAGTGGGTCACAGTAAGTGAAACCTACTTCACTTCTGGCACAGAAATGCCTGTCTACATCACCCTACAGTTCATATGTGAGTCAAATAACCTTGTGCTGAAAGAAAAGCTCAAATCAGTCATTAGTCAAATGTACTATGCAGCAAGGATCATTATTATGGCAAAACAAGGTTTATGCTCCACCGAAAACCTAAACGTCATGTAAACGATCACGCCATATCCCACTGTGTTTACCAATTTACATGTGTGTGTAGCCACACATACATTGAGAGGAGTAGTTGTGATTTGCAATTTAGAGTTTCTGAATATGTACCTAAGTGGTTACAAGTACAAACAAAATCAAATGATGCAATAAGGGTAGATGATAAATGTTCATCGTCGTCTATCACCAAACACGGTTAAAACAGGTCATAAGGTTGATCTTAACCCGACTTTTGTGATGTTTTACGAAGTGTTCAAAGGTGTATACTAAGGCTTATTGGGGCCTTGGCCACAAAAACTCAAGCCCCTTTATGTGTTCAAATCTGTTTTCACTCTAAGACTATCCTGGTAATATTATTTTATTATCCAGTATAGAAAGTTTCACATTAATCTCTTGATTGTTACCTCCTACCCACCATTTGTCCGGCTAACCTTTTCTGTTTTCATATATAATTTTTCTTAACATGTGTGTGATCAAAAGTGGAATGTGACTGTAATGGCCAGATAAGTTGATTAATCCCAACAGAAAGACATTTATGTGGGTATTCTGATATTCCGGCACAGCGAACAGATAATGGTGATCGTCTGCTGCAACTGTGCTCAAACAATCGTTTATTTTTAGCAAACACAAACTTTAAGCATAAGGAGAGACATTGTGTAATATGGCGACCCACTGCACCAAACCAACGATGGACTCAAATAGACCCATTAGAACTAAACTGAATAACGAGAAAACCAAAAGTAGGTTCCAGGAACAACTGATGTCACGCTTAGGTGGTTCTGAAAACGAGGCTAACCCAGATGTTGCTTGGAAAGTCATACAAGCAGCTGTGGAAACAGCAGTGGCATTTACCAGTGATTTAAACCACAGGGTTACAAAGAACCAATGGATTTCGTCAAGGTCTATTGCACTGATGGATTCTCGTAAACTCATCCCATCAGGTTCTGACACACTATGAAGAGTGTAAAGGAATCAGATCTAGGTTAACCAAAAGTCTAAGGAACGACCATGAGCAGTGGTGGGCAACGAAATCAAAAGAGATGGAAAAGGCAATGGCTGTAGGTAAAACCTGACAACTTTTCTGACTAACAAACGAAACTGGAATTAAGAAGTCAAGTTTAAGTGGGACGATATCGGGAAAAGATGACACCCTTATCTGCTCTCAACCAAAACGTTTAGGACTATGGGCGGAACATTTTAGAGAACAGTTCAGCTGACCTTCAGCTACTCTACAACTACCCTCCATTTCCAGATAGTGTGAATGGATCATTGAAGTAGGTCCCCCGACTCTATCTGAAGTTCAAAAGGCTATAGTTAATCTGAAACGAGGAAGAGTAGCTGGTCCAGATGAATTGACTCCAGAGGTCTTTAAGGATGGTGGTCCAATTTTAGCGACTAGGTTGACTAATATTTTAGCTAAAATCTGGGAGTTAGACGTTATCCCATCTAACTGGTCACAATCACTTATCGTCCCAATATTTAAGAAAGGGTCAAAATCATCCTGTGACAACCACAGAGGGATTAGTTTGACTAATATAGTATCTAAAATACTAGCCTCGATAATTATCGGACGCCTAACTAAGACTCGTGAACTGCAAACACGTGAAAATCAGGCTGGCTTCAGACCTGGTCGTGGCTGCATCGACCACATATTCACCATTCGTCAGGTTCTAGAACACAGGCATACTTACCAGCGTCCGACAATGGTGGTATTCCTTGACTTAAAAGCAGCGTTTGACTCTGTTGACCGAGAGGTTCTGTGGCAGTGTCTGTCATTGAAAGGCGTACCTCAGAAGTACATAAACCTTGTGAAAGCTCTTTACTCGAACACTAATAGTCGAGTCAGAGCTTATGGCGAACTGTCATCCGCTTTTGCAACCTCAAGTGGTGTCCGTCAAGGCTGTCCACTTTCTCCATTTTTGTTTAACTTTATCATAGACATCCTGATGGAAATGACGCCCTCATCGACTGAATTTTTGGGCATTGATCTCCTACCAGGAGGTCCACTTATTGACTTAGAATACGCAGATGACATAGTCCTGTTTGGTGAAGATGCTGATGAAATGCAGAGTATTTTGGTAGCACTGAGTAACAATGCTAGAATGTTTGGGATGCGCTTCTCTACCTCTAAATGCATGTTGTTTCTTCAGGACCGGTCTGCGTCAACACCTGAACTAAGGATAAGGAGTGAAGTAGTCGAACGCGTTGACAACTTCACTTATCTTGGAAGTCTGATCAGCTCTAATGGGTTGATGCCTGACGAAATCTCAGCACGGATTCGAAAAGCTCGTTTGGCCTTTGCCAACTTACGTCATCTATGGCAAAAGCGAGATGTCCTTCTATGAATTAAGGGACGAGTATACTGCGCGGCAGTTCGTTCTGTTTTACTTTGCGACTGCGAAATGTGGTCACTAAGAGTGGATGATTTTCGTAAGCTACTAGTATTTGATCACAGATGCCTTAGAAATATTGCTCGCATCTGCTGGGATCACCGGGTAAGTAATAGTGAGGTTAGACAGAGTATTAGGGAATGATGGTAAATCAGTTGATGAGGTTATGAATCTTCATCGACTGAGATGGTTGGGCCACGTGTTGCGTATGCCTGAACACCGATTACCACGACGTGCTATGCTGAATAGTGTTGGCGATGGTTGGAAGAAAGTTAGGGGCGGTTAATCCAAAACGTGGCATCAGTGCTTGAAATCACTAACTCCAGGTCTGAGCGATGTTGGTAGATACAAACTACTTGGTTGAGGTCCGCGTGACTGTCGTAACCAATAATTGGAGACTGTGTGTGACATGGCTCAGAATCGATCACAATGGCGTCAGTGTATACACTCTCTGTCTTCCTTCAAACTAAGAGATTAAAATCACTTCATATCTTTCTCTCTACGAAATAATTCTTTCTTCCTGTACTATATCCTTATACACAATCTTTCTTCTATATATTACCACCACTGAATTGACCATTTCTATGAATTCGATGTTCATCTCGCTGTGCTAATGCGGTATGGCAACTTGGACTGATGCATATATGTGCCTGGTCCTACGTTGTAGCTGACTGACTGAGTTTTCTCTGTTTACATTACGAAGTAAATCCAATAATTGAACTGTACAGTGATTGATATTAGATTGTGGTCACGTTTTTTAACCAAATTGGATCATTATATGGTATTGTGTCCAGTGCTTCACTAACACAGTTCCTGTTTATATAATCCCCACATTCCACTGAATGTTCACTTCTGATTTTTTTGACATAGAGTTTAGCTGTGTTACCCCTCGCCTTTCGGTGTTTCATAATCTCTCATGTACAGGTTTTATCAGGTTTTGGAGAATGTAATGATTATAGAGTTTTTTGTTAGATGTGTAGTCTTGTGCCAACATCAATAAGTAATCTCATGATAGAAACGTTTTGTTACATTTCCGCGTGAATGTTACCTAATTATGTATTGTAATACTTCGTTATAATTAAAGAATCCTCAAGTTAATTCTTAATAACATTATTTTAGCATTGTTAACCGTTAGCTTCACACTTTGATATTTGAATAAATCATACTAAAATTTTTATCCATTGGATGTTATTTTCATTCGACAGTTGGCTAACATTCATTGGAATCACCAGAATTCTCAAAGTGTAATTAAAGTAGAAGTTTGGGATGTTGTTGATAAAGGCAAACCTAGGAGTAGTGCTTCGAAAGGCTTAAAGTTTTTCAACAAACTAACAAAAGGCCAACCTGTTATCAATATTGGTGGACAGGCTGTGAGTTTTTATTTTCTTATGTTTTCATGTTATATTACTTATTAGTAACTGTGTTAAATTGTATCAATTTTGTTTAGTGTGTTTCAATAGGTATTGATTCTGGGTAAGTCAGCAAGATGCTTTACACTCAGATTTCAAACTTACTGGTGAGCACCACTGAAGGTCCTGGATTCAATCCCTAGATGCGGGATTGTGGATGGGCACTGTTTAAAAGTTCCAACTAGGACGGAACTGCCGTCCAGTGCTTCCAGGTCTTCTATGGGGATGTAGTGAATGATGACTTGGTGGGGAAAACTATTTTTTATGCAAATTACTTAGTGCTTTCTTAAAATGTGAACATCATACATTAAATAAATTATTTGCACATCTTCCATCAGTTGTCATGCACATATTTCTCCATTCTTTAAATCTGGTTGTTATTCCGATTCCTCTTTGTTTCCTTCCCTTTTCGCTTCACTTCAATTTTCTGCTGCCAGGTATTGCATTTTCAATTGGTGCTACTTACTACTTATACTTGTCAGCATAAGCAGCATTCACCACAGGGAGACCCAACTAAGATCAGTTCGTAATTTAAACTATGAATACATCTGTAATTTTGAAGAAATGGATACCTCATCAAATATTCGTAACCTGTGTCACCTACTGCAAAAATCAGAAACGCTTCTGTAGACTTATTCAAGATAGATTTACACTCGCATTTAGGTTCAAATCAAGTACCTAATAAAATACTTTGCTTAAACTATTGCTTAACCTGTATTTTCTCAAGACCATTGTTATATTGGTGAAGTTGGGGGGGGGATGAAGGAAAGGAATATTTGTTTCAGTAGGGATCCTACTTCAAAAAATCCACTGTAATGTTCAGTTTAATAATTATTTTAACATACGGACTGTTTGACATATTTTTTAACTGGGACTGTCTTTAAGATGCATAATTATATGTGCGTCACATTTAAGAAGTTTCAATGTAATAAAAAAGTATGTTAAATGTGATTAAGCTTACATCTAAATTCTTATAATTTACCATGCTCAAATTATTCAATCATCCCGATCTGACTTGAATGTAAATAATATATGTACTAGGAATTATGTTCCAAGACAAGCTTAAATCCATCTCATATTAGTTTCCTTATGATTAGTAGGGTCTACTGTCACTTTGATTTAGGGCTACTTGGTACTGAGTATTTAGATTACTTATCTTTGTCTGTTACCCCTCGTGAAGCATAGGCCTCCAAACAGGATTCCTCAACTAACTCTGTCCTGGGCTCTCCTTTCCAGTTGTTATCAAGTTTTGTTCGTTCTTTCAGAGTCTGCATCCAATTCCTGGCGCACTGTGTTCTTTGGTCTGCCTCTTTTTGTTTAGCCTTCAGGATCCCAAGTTAGGACTTGCTTTGTAATACAGTTTGGTAATTTCCACAATTTGTGTCCTACACAGCTCCAGCACCTCCTAATTTCCTCTTTAGATGGAACATGGTTTGCTCTGCAAGGATAAGTTGTTGCTGGTGCTGTTATTCAAGGGATCTGGCGTATCTTGTATAGACAACTGTTTATGAATACCTGTACTTTTTTGATAATTTTTTTAGTTGCCCTCCAAGTTTCATCTCCATACAACGGAACTGTCTTGACGCTTCTACTGCAAATTCTGACTTTGGTCTTGAGTGGCAGATTTTTTTACGTTTTAAATGTCTGACATTGTCCGTTCATGGGCTTTGTCCAGTAATTTGCAGAATACTTAGCTATTGAAGGTGAAATATTTCAACAAAGTAAAACATCATAAGAAATCAGTACCTAAGTTAGACTAGTTCTACTCCAAACAGACACTAATGGTAGTTGATATGAACTGAGAATTTTCACCAACTTTCGAGTAAAACTAAGCAGCATTTCCTTACACTTGAGTACTCTAACACTTTATTCCATTGTTTGTAACGCATAAGGACGATTCACTGAAACTAGAGTAAAAATATAATACAGTTGTAAAATAAACCCATGAATGAAATCATATTTTCTACATATCCTAAAGTAAAAGAAGCGTCCTCCAACGTCTTTTCCTAATTTTCTCTTCAGTTGTAAGTTGATTTGTTCTCTCCTTTAATAGGTTGTGCTGATTGTTTCTGGTCAACGTAGATTGAGTCTTGTGTAGTAAATGATTTATAAATACTTGCACCATATTGATGATGGCTGTAGTAGTTCTCCAAGTTCCAGCTCCATACAGTGTTCAAGATCCTGAATTTGATGTCGGTTGACAGTTGTTCTAAGTTCCATATGTTCTACAATTGTAAGAATGCGACCCTTGCTTGGTCAATCCTCGCCTTTACGTCTGCATCCGATCCTTCTTGTTCATCGATGATGCTTCGCAGGTATGTGAAGGATTTCACATCTTCCGGAGTTTCTCGATCGTGTGACTGGGTTAGTGTTCTCTGTGTTGTATTTGAGGATGTTGATATTTCCCTTGTGTATGGTAAGGCCTACTGACGCTACACTGGTTGTCCTGACCTGCGTTTGTTGGTGTGTGTGTGCATGGGATAGAAGGGTTAGATCACCTGCAAAGTCCAAATCGTCTAGTCGCATCCAAGCTGTCCATTGGATTTCGTGCATCAACTGAGATATGGAGGTCTTAATGATCCAGTCAATCATTATAAAAAAGAGAAAGGGATAGAGTAAGCAGCCTTGTCTGTCTTCGGTGCCTACCTGGAATGAGTCTTTCAGCTGTGCTCCATTCACAATCTTACAGTGCAGTCCGTCGTATGAATTCCAGATTATGTTGATGATCTTTTCAGCTATACGTTTGTGTTGAAGTTTCCATAAAGTCATCTTATCCACACTGTTGAACAATCAATTTAATGGAACTCGTCACTGTACATCAACTTTCTTGACTATGAGAAAGCATTCGACGATGATCCGTAGTGTCACGATTTGGTTTGGGCACGATCAATCCTTACGGAATCCTACCTGTTGATCTCTCTGGTTTACTATATTTCCCCACCAGTTTCTTCGTCGTGTCATATAGTTGTCTGACATTTCCTTATGTTGTTCCTAAGTCTTCCACGTATTTCTGCTTATCAGTTCTAGTGCTCTTCTTCACTTGCTTGTTTGCTTCTGTGTATTCAGCTTGTGTCTTGACTTTCTCTGCTCTTGTTCGGCTGTTGCTAATCGCTGTCTTCTTCGTCTTCCGTTCTTGAATCCTGTCGATAGAGGTCCATTCCTTATGATAATGTCTCTTGCAACCTAGAACCTCCTTATATGTTGAAGTTAATGCTTCTTTGATCCTTTCCAAATTGTCCTCCATAGTAGTTTCATCTTCAAGTAGAACTTGTAGGGCTTTGAACCTGTTGTTGAGTTTGTCCGTATCTCGAAGAAAGACTGTATTGAACTTTTTTCATGCTGTTTGTGTAGTTGTCCAGTACCTTTTTATCTTCGATTTCATCTTGGCAGCCACCAGTTGGTGGTGATCTGAAGTTATGTTTGCTCCTCTTCTAGTTCTCACGTCTTTCATAGACTTGATTTTTTTAGTGATGCAAATATGATCGATCTGATTCTGTGTAGTGCGATCCGGTGAGCCAGAACCATGTAACTTTATGTATGTATTTGTAGTGGAATATTGTGCCGTCCATAATCATTTTGTTGAATGCACATAGGTTTACAAATCTGTCACCATTCTCGTTGGTTTCTCCTAATCAATCCATATCGTCCCATGATATCTTGATACCCCATGTTTTCCATTCCAACTTTAGCGTTTAAGTCTCCCATCATGACGGCCAGGTCCTTTTCTGAGCACTTCACTGTGACTGATTGCAGCCTCTCACAAAAAAGATATTTATCGTCGTCGTTGCTATCATTGGTGAGTGCATTCATTATGATCTCCTTGTTGTTGGTTTTGTAGGATGCTTTGATGATTCTGGGTTCGTGAGATTCCTATCCTACAAGTGCTTCACGTGCCTCTCTTGACAGCATCAAAGCAACTCTCTGAGTGTGCTGAGCACTTTATTCTTCGTGATCCGAGTACAGCAGTATCTCTCCTGAATCTATTATTTTCTGTCCAGCTTGTGTCCAATAGGTTTCACTGATTCCGAGAATCGTCAAGTTAAATCTCCTCATTTCCGTAGCTATTTGACTGGTCCTCCCGGTCTCCTAAATTGTTCGAACATTTCATATTCTTATGCTAATTGTTGCTCTGGTTGTTAGAAGGGACATCGACCTCGTGATTTCCGAAGAATCTGGGCTTTCACCATGAGGTGTCATAATTCTTCTGAACGAAGATCCCTCGATTCGGAGGTCAGAGTTTAAATGGTTCAATTTGTTTATTCTGGTTAGCGTTTTCTGGCAAGGTTTTTTTCTGCGTGGTCAGGTTTCTGACCCCATACCCATACCCAACTCTCCTTTGTGTGGGCTTTGGAATGACAGTAACCCTAAAAGAGAGCCATAGGTGGGGTTATTTTTTCTCTATCTACTGACAAATTAATGAGTAGTTTCAGAAAATTAACTTAATATTTATAACACTATTGGCTCACCGCTTAATCTTGCATTTGTTCAACCTCGTGTAACATTCCTTTGAAAAGCCTCACATGTATAAATAGTAAACGAGTTCACTTTGTATAAAAGTATTAGCTTTAATATATTCAGGACATGAAAGGTTTCGACAAATCAGGAATCTTACAGAGGTTTCATGACAATACTATTGTTTGAAGGAACTATTTCATTACAAATGATTATAATAGTATTATAAGACTACAAACAACTTGGGATCAATATCTTATTTTTATCTAAGTTTATGATAATAATTCATGTTTGTAATCCCATCACGACTTATCGATGTAGGGTACTCTAATAAAAAAATTAATGTATCAAAGTTTAAATAGCAAGTTCTCACACACCACATTCTACTCGTTGAATTACTTCAATTAAGTGTTCACGAACTAATGGAAAACCCCTCTTCTCTCAACATCTGAACCTAATTTTAAACCTTTCAATCGGAGACATTACCATGGTGCTATTTACTCCCTTCACCTTCTTAGAACTAATTTTCATAATTGGGTGTGCATTAGATGTTTGGTATTATTTAGACTATAAGTTAAAAGGATTTAAATTTAGGGTTTCGTTTAAACCTAACCCCAAATATATAACGTGTATACAATACATCATAATACAATTCCACTTGACTAAGTCCCCAAATTTTAATATGATTTAGACCTACAATTCGGCTACTATAATTCTTTTTATTTCAAAAATCTTTTGTTCAGATTTTATGCCCATAGATTCTCATTTTGACTTTTTCCTCTATAACAGGGAAATATTGAACCATGCCTAGATGCAAGTTTTATTAATGTCTACAAAGGTGCACATGGTGTTATCTTAATGATGGACATGACAAAATCATCGTGAGTTGAATTTTTAACTTTTTCGTTATGTACATATGATACTACCAAAATATTAATAATTCAACTGAATATTAAATTATTCTTGTTATCTTCAGAGAACACTCGTTTTTCAAGCCGCTATATATTTAAATTATTTGTTGAATATAATATCAGTTGATGTAATTTGTAAGTCGACTCAGACATCGCTTCGTTTCCATTCAGTCAGTTGTGTCAAGAGATAGAGTTTATACAGAAATATCAGACTATTTGTCACTAGTTTACAGTGGTTTTAGGTTCAGTATACATTTCATGTTGGTTATAATATATACACTCTAAATGTAACCCCTTCATCAATTATTCAATACAACTTGAAACCTAATCCACCGAGATATTCTTATCTACTGTTATAAAGATTTAAGTAGTGCACTGAATAATCCGAAAATATTTTATCATGTTTTCAAAAATTAGTATATCGAAGAAGGTCATGAAAACAGACTTTTCATCGTAGATTACTAATGCTAATACTTTCTTCCTATTGTGGACATATTTCGGTGAAAAATTTTAAACGATGAATGGTTAATGAATTAAGATTTGATTTTATACAAGTAATATACTAAGTGGTTTCTGATGTTGAAGTGTTTAAAATCGATCGAGTTGCCTCGTAATGCCTCAAAAAAGGTAATCTTTTAAATTTTGACATAATTCACATGTTGTTTCATTGGTCAAGCCGTATATTATCTTTCACATATATTTCTGTAAGACAGATATTAATGTTCTAATTGCTTGTACCCTCAAATAACTCAATACGACAGAGTCAGGAAATTTCACTCTCTTCCTTGATATACTGTCATATAATCGCAAGTATAAAGCCACTACTAAGGAAGTCCTACTCACTACCTTCTCGCGGTGGGGGTATTGTTTACGAAACCGAGAGAACGAAAAATAAATATCCAGCGCTTAAACCGAGCTAGCGGCCACGGCGGAACAACCTAGGAGAGTTGAAGCCCTGATTCCAAACCAATGGGCTCCATGATCCTGAGGGGACAAATGACTTATGAACCTATTCTTGATCACCGTCTACCATGGGACTGCATCTCCTAACATTGCTCCACTGCCTTATGGATTAGACATCTGGGTCAAAAGTTTGGAGAATGGCCCTCTGGGAAAACTACCTGTTTCTTCATTAGCATCCAGGTAGTATTCCAACCCACAGACAAATCGAATGATTTATTCGGCGCGTGTATATCTTAGTGCCTCTTTGTACCAATGTTTATGCGTTTAAATAAATAAATAAAGTTTAATTTCTTGTAATTTGTTATATGTATGAATGTTTTATTGTTGCCTACGGGTTAGTTTCCCCCTTTTTGCTTTACTTTATTTTCAGCTAAAATAACTAATTGCTTCACTCTAAACAACCCGTACAGCATTTTGTTGTCCGTGATTACTTCACCTTAAGTTTATAGAGATATGTGGATATTCTTAAGTGTTGTCGATATCAGGACATACTGGACAGCTTGTTCGTCATAGTATGGGACTCTCAAGCTGTATGAACCCAAAATCCCATCCTAGGGGATCGAACTCGAAACCTTCGGTCGCATACGCGAACACTTAATCTTCAGACCACTGAGCTGGAATGCAATTATGTACACATCTAACTTCAATCGGTTCTTCATATTAAGTAACCATCTTCCATTATCTTACATGCATAACTATCTCATACCCAGCACATTTGAGCTCCAGTGATCATGTCTCAGTTTAATAATAGTCTACTTTTCTCACTCTTTTCACGTTTCTTTAACGAACACTAAATTAAGTTGATTTAGTAAAGAAATTGAAACGAAATTTATTATTATTATTATCATTTTTACTATTATTATTATTATTATTATTATTATTATTATTATTATTATTATTATTATTGTTAAAGTATGACCTAACTTTTAATTAAATAAATAGTAGGTATAAGTTATAAAGTAGAATAGTGTTTGACACTAATAACTATTATCATGCTTTAAAGATGTGATATCCGCCGAAAGTGCATACAACATTTGCACATAATTTTCATATATGTTCATTACTTTCTATGTAGATAGGTTAATTACTCATTTGCTATTACCGATTACCGAGGTCATGCTTTTAAACCTATTAATATATACTACTACTATTTGTAAAATTTTCTGTTTTCACATTCACTAGTAATTTATACTACTGATATCAACAAAACAATGGGTCAAGTTTAGTTAGATATATTCATCGGTAACTTTAATGAGAGGAATAACAACATAACAAATTGTTCCTTAATACACTGCATCAATCGATAGCTGTATTGATTTTTCTGATCGACCGACTTTCATTAACACTTAGCACTAGTAGTCGGTTGTAGTATTTTGTAGAACCACTATTTTTATCGTCCAACGACTCTAAATCTTAGAGAATTATGCTTACATTCTGTTAAATAGACCATGGTCTTTGAATTAATATAAAATGAAGAAATTGCAAATAATTTTAATATCGATGAGGTTTATGGAGATCCTTTTTCAGTTTATAGTTTACATCATGGACTGACTTGAGCTCTGGTCACAACCATTGAAGAACATAAAACAACGGGCAGATGTTTTTCCTAATATAAGACTGCATAACTCTGTACATTTGGGACTCTTCAATTTCTATAGATAATTTCTGTTGAACAGTTTACCTATTTCATGTTTGATTCCCGAAATTGTTTTAATATTATTCTCTACTATACTTTTAAGAAGGTAAAATCGATTGAACCAACGTGTTCCGTATCCCCAGTTTCATAGTCAGTCAGAAATGATGAAAACTCAACTATGAACATAGTCGCGCGATATTACGAAGTGATTGGAGTGAAACATGTCAATTTTCGGGTTCCAGTTCAGTGATCTAGAGTTTAAACGTTCACGTGTAAGACTGGAGATCCTGAGTTCGATCCCCTGTGGTGGGTTTGTGAGTGCTCACTACCAAGAGGTTCCATACTAGAACGAAACCGCTGCCCAGAACTTTCTGGTTTTTAAAGATTACCTAAGATCAGTTCTTGACATAAACCATGTAACTCAGAAATCTCCATAAACCCTCTATGGTAAATAAAAGGAATGACTTCTTTTCCTAGTGATTATTTACCACTTACTGAAATTACTACTAAATATTCCTCCTTGTGTATTTGCAAACCAAAGGCTTTGTGTTTTATAGGAGAAAAAGGAAAACACAATAATATGGCGAAAATCGATAATGTAGTGATATTCATGGAAAAAATGTCAGGAAGATAGTAAGAAAATTCAAGGTCAAAACTGGCCAATCAGAGAAAAGATAAATATCCTGGAAAAATATGTGATTCATCCTAAATGGTTTGGTGTAGGCATTAGAAAGAACAAACACCTTATTAAATTTAGACCAGGTAAATTAAGTGTGAAAAGTCGATAGGTTTTCTGCAAAAAACGCATTGATTTAATTTTCCTGATGACTATGATGATAACTCTGACCAGTGTTGTTTACTTTCCGTCGAATTATAAAGCAAAAGTATATATGTATAATGGAAACCATTAAATTGATATATTTGATCAGATGTTTGACAGTTCAGTTGTGTAACTCAACTTACAATGGTATAATTATTTTACATAAGCTGACTTAAAACATAACTATCGAAACAAATAAATGAGAATAGATACTTTATCGGAGTTTGATTTTTACCGTCGTAAGATAATATCATCTGATATATCAGTGAAAATTAGAGATAAATGGACAGCTATTTTGTCATAGTTTCAGTACCCAGCCATAAATTCACATAAGGTCCATTGATCTCAAGACGCTTGCATCTCACAGTAAGTACAATACATTTAGACAAGTAATGATACCCAATAATTCATTTTTCCAAATTTAATCATTTTCTGATATTTCATAATATTCACCCAACGTCATTAATAAATTTTGGTTGTCTTCATAAGTTGCAGCTTATCAGAAGTGTGAAAATATCTTAAACCTGGTTACTAGTGAAAAAGTACTTATTACTTAGCCAGATCGTTTTGTAGAAACTTGAAACTTTTGAAAATGGTGGTTTTATATACATAAGTAATATGGAAACCTAGTTTTTCTCTAAGCCAATATCATCATCTCTGTAATTCAAACATCAATGCAATAAATATAGCGATCATATAAAGTATTCGCATCAAGTGATTTCATACAGACTTTATAGTTCAGAAATAATTCTCATCCGAAATGCGAATAACTTCATCTGAGAAGCATTGAATAGTTTTCATTTGAACTTTTCACCAGTATACACACTCATGATTCAACATAATACTGAACACAGTAGAAAGTTTAGCTCTCAAAATCAATGCAACATCATTTAATCACCAAGAAGTAGTCCAATGTTCCACATTTTCTGAATTCAGTCACTTCATGTTATAGTACAATCCTCGTACTATCATCAATGAGACTGCTTCTCAATCCTAATTTTATTGACTTCAGACATGTTCGTTTCTTTATATGAAGCAACATACTCCCGTATGGAATATTCTCAGAACCCGAGTTCTGGTTAACTATATCCTTTTTTGTATAACTCTCTTCGATATCATTGCCTATTCAATCTGTTAGGGTGTTTTATTCTGTTACCTACTTCCTTCTGAAAGTTCCCTGATACGTTTTTTGCTGATTTCGAAAATTATCAGGTAACATATGCTTTACTATCCATACTTTTAATTTCCTTATTCCTCATAAAAGCTTATTTTTGTCTACTCTTATTCGCTGTATAAATTTTCATATAGGACATTTGAATATGTATGTCGTGAACTTGTACAAATTCCTCCAAAACTGCCCATATTAATTATGTCAAATTTCCATGATATACAAGAACAACGTAAAATCACTGAAAAACAAGTTCAAATGTTCCTCAATGATTCTATTATGCAATTGAATCAGTATAATGTTACATCTGATGAAAAAGTCAATGAATTATCAAGAAATATTCATGTACAAAAGTGAGATTTTTTAATTAAAAAAGGGTTGTTCCATTTGATTAGGAGTTTTATGTATATATTTTCATAACACCCTTAATTCACCGCTCACAATTTAAAGTACTGTTCACTTAATTTCTTTGATGCTAGGTGGTTTTTGATAGTCGAGCAGGAAACCCCGCTTGGCCCTAGTCAACAAGGCATTTCTACCACCGTGTTTCATTAACCACTAAAATGACTGTAGGTATTAGGAGGCTTCCCTATTGTCTTTATTCTACGTTAATTCACATCATTAGTTTGATCTTTTTTTTTTATCTAACCTCAATTTTTCATTTTCATATCTATGCTTAAGTACATGCATAGATTATGTCATCTTACGTTTATAATTGCAGTTTAGTTTTAAAATTTGTTACATAAGTAACACATTCAAAAAATAAATCATGATTTTATCTTAATTGTTGAAAAAGTAGTTACGCATTATCGTATGATAATCAATATTTTAATTGTCAATAAGAAAATTTAACGAAAATCCTAGCGATCGAGTAGTATTAAAATTATCTAATGGCTGATTATAATGTTACTCGTAATAACTCAGTTTTATCAACTTTAATTTTAACACATAAAAAATTAAATTAACGCTCCAAAGAGAGAAACAAATAAGTTTTCAGTATCGTTACTTTTGATTATCAGTGGATTTCTAAAAGCTTTAATCGTTCATAATTAAAAGATCTCTTACCAAAACTGTCATTTCTCAGTGCTTATGAGGTTTGGCGACTTAAACCTATTCAAAAATGTTCCAAGATCTATGTTACCTATGACTGACTGACTAAACTTCTAGGCCTGCAGAGAAATTCCTGTGATTATATATATATATATATATATATATATATATATATATATATATATATATATATATATATATATATATATATATTCATTGAGTTTGTCAGTATCTCGAAGGAAGGCTGTATTGAACCTTTGTAGTGCTGTTTGTCCAGTTCTTCTTTAGCTTCAGTTTTAAGTTAGCCACAACCAGGTGGTGATCTGAATCTATGTCCGCTCCTCTCCTGGTTCTCACATCTTATATTGTCCTTCGGAACTTTTTATTGATGCAAATATGATCTATCTGGTTCTCTGTGGTGTGGTTCGGTGAGATCCATGTAGCTTTGTGTATACGTTTGTGTGGAAATATTGTGCTGCCTATGACCAATTTGTTGAATGCACACAGATTTGCAAATCTTTCCCCGTTTTCGTTTCTCTCTCCCAGTCCATGTAGTCCCATGATATCTTCATATCCGGTGTTGTCTCTTCCGACTTTGGTGTTTAGATCTCCCATCAGAATGGTGAGGTCCTTTCTTGAGCACTTCTGTATGATTGATTGCCGTTGCTATCATTTGTGGGTGCATAACATTGGATAATATTCATTGTGATCTCCTCCTTCTTTGTTTTGAATGACGCTTTGATGATTCTGGATCCGTGAGATTTATTAACACAGAATATCAATAATTAATCTCACACATACATACATACTTACACACTCAGACACACACATACAATTGGTGTTGTTACAGGTAATTATTTCCATGTAGCTGAATTTTCCACATGATTTGTTGTTAACTGACTCATTTTATCCTATTTTACAAAAATCAACATCCAAATTTGATTGGTTTAACAAAGTATAGTTAGGATTGTTAAAAGCTATATATTTGTTTGATGCTTTTGATTTTGATTATTACCCTGAAGAAGTCCAGACAAGTTAGCTGGACAAAACGTTGGAATTATTTAAATTTTAGTCTCTGAGATTATTTCAAATATGATTTTCATATATTTAGTTAGAATAAAAGATACGATCCCGTTCACTTCCACACAAAATTGTGTCGACCGATTAAGTTGTATCAATTGTGATGCACTTTGTAGTGGAGAGTCTCCCCGTGAGGTCTCGACTCGTGCCCAGGAACACTTAAGTTACACAAAAAGACCTAATGATCCTGTAGAATTGGGAAATTTACAGGTTTAATCAGCAATAGCACTTCATGCTATTTTCAATAATCACCAAATCGATACTAAAAATATCAGAATAATTCAGAAAGGCTATCCCAACTACCAAGAGAGGCGAGTAGCCGAAACGTTTCACATTATGCCTTCAATAAGAAAGAAGGCCTGAGTATTCATTCAACTTGAACTATTTATCCAAACAACCACATATGACCTTATTTTCCACACAATCTTCATACACACATACTTAATCTCAACCTCACTACTTTATATTACAAATGCATACATTTCTCACATCCATATTCTGACGCACAATTTAATACAGTGACAGGTCATACAAATTCACCTTGACCAAGAATAACTTGACATTGACATATGAAAACCTATGATTGATTGTACTAAAAATGTTTTGTATTGTTTCCTTTGTACGATTTAAACTTGTGTTAATTTAATTCGGTTGTTTATTTACTCTAAAGAAGTGGCTTACATTAGTCACAAAACGTCAGAAATACAATTTTTCTACTCGTTGAGATATAACGACAAAAGTGTGTTTATTATTAACTATTCTTAGTGACGAGGTTCCAGTTGCATTTCTTGAATTCCTATCAAGAAACTATGACCTACATAGTCAATCAATTTAAATGAATAAAAGACTAACACATCAATCACACTGCATAATGTTCACATTGCAGTGCATTAATTGACTTAACCATAATCCAGTTGTTTGATGTTATTTTATATGCTTTGAGATGTGAAGTTTCTAAGTTTAATCTTGTATTGGAGTTATGAATGAATGGGTTGTTGGGAAATCCTCCAAACTGAAACAAAACACGGATTGTGTATCAGTAATCTCTGGTTTTTAACAGATTTCCAGCCGAGACATCAACTCTTAACAAAAGTTATAACCAACTGAATATCTTTATTGAATGGGTTTTGTAGAGATCTGTTTGATTTGTAGGTTGTATTCGTCATAGATTAATTCCAGTTGAAGCATCATTAAAAACCGAGGAGCACTGAATGGCTGCTTCTTCCTAGTGCGGGACTCAGTAGAGCTTACACACAATTTCACCAGGAAACGAACCAAAGACTTTCCAGTCTGGTAGTGAATGCTTAGCTATTATAACTATTAGGTCGGCGTCCAACATTTTAGTTTCAACTTCAACCAATTTGTGATATACTTCGATGACCATTCACTAACATTGGCAACAAATGTTTTACTCCCAACTAATATGTCTACTACTGGGTAATCCCATATGGGGACGAAACAAATCTCAAGTGCTCCTTGCTTTTCATTTTCAACTCAACTAATATCAATGTGATATGAATACAAACTACAAATACGTATTCCGCTATTTTTTCTCGGCTTAGAAATAACTATCAGAAGGGATTGTGTGGAGATTTTAGAAATTTCACTGGTTGAAATGATGAATCAATTGAAGCTAGACCACCATGGAAAACCTGGAAGCACTGGACGGCCGTTTCGTCCTAGTATGGGACTCCTCAGCAGTGCGCATCCATGGTCCCGCTCCTCGCGAGATTCGAACCCAGTGGAGTTCGACCAGGTCTGTTGTGAGATATCAGCTCACTGAAGACAATGGTGACGGTGGCGCAACTTCGTGGACTGGTTGAAGTTAGACATTAACACCTTTGGATGCCGGCTCAGTGGTCTAGTTGGTTAAGCGCCTGGCGCGAGACTTCTAGGTCTTGGGTTCGAGTCCCGCGGGGGGCGGGATCGTGGATGCGCACTGCTGAGGAGTCCCATACTAGGACGAAACGGCCGTCTAGTGCTTTCTGGTTTTCCATGGTGATCTAGCTTCAATTGATTCATGATTTCAACCAGTTAAAAATAACTAACATCAATTTCATGTTCAAATATCAAAACAGTTCATCACATCATCAGTTTTTACACTTTAAATGAGATCAATAAGGAAATGAATGTTTGATTCTCTTGTTTAAAAATAGAATTCACAATTTGCATAAAATTATAGAAAATTATTTAATCTTTGTCCACATTCTCTCTTGAATAAACATGCATACATACACACATGTTTCTTCGTATAATTTACAGTCGTTATTACATTGTTTTCCATTTCAAATATATACGTGCACTGAACAAACATTTTAATAATTATAGGATAGTATATTATTGATTTTTGTACACCCTTACCCTCTACCTATTCCAACTGTTCGTGTATACATGAGCACAGTTTAGAATTGTCCTCTCGGGTTGTGTTTGTATGCACTTTTTTTAATTACTGTCTGCTTTGTGTTAGTATATATTCTTTCCTCTATTTATCTATTGTTTTTCTGAATATTTTTGTTTGATAAAATCAGTGAAAAATCTATTATTGATTACTACCAACAGTAGTATCAGTAGTAGTAGTAGTAATAGTAGTACATAACACCATATTGTATCAATAAATTTAATAAGTACTTTAGAACTAACTCATCTACTCAATAACCGCTTTAATCCTTCCATATTGTTAATGTATGCATGTGTACATTTGCATATGCATAAGAAATATGATTGTCTTGCTGATACTCTCCACCCTCTTCCTTTTCCCGTCAGCGTATATCACCATGTTTATTGCGGTCTAAGTATTGGTAAACTGTCTGCCAATGATTTATAATTTTTGTAAATTAACAAATTAATTGATTGTCATCTCGCTCCCCACCTACTCTTTTATTCTACTCGTATGTGATCACTGCCTGTTATGAACGTTTTCGTAATGAAAACAAAAACATGGTATTTATGTTTAATTAATAAATATTATTACTATTGTTGTCAGAGTACTAGTTTATCGACTAATGTTACAGTTGTTTTTTTAAAAATGGTTCCATTAATAGTAATTACTATTTATTTTTTCAGTTCTTTCATCGATTATAAATCAATGTAACTTACAATAGTGTTAAGTCGCCGCTCCCTAACACTAGAAAGAACAATCATAACTAGGAATATGTGACCCTCATTAAATAATTTATTTATGTAAATTCATTAATAAATTCCTAAATGTTTGTTCCTGGCTTCA